AATGCATGGTACCGTGAAATGTTCATAAATATTTCACTTATTGCATGCAGATTGACTACAGAATACAGCAATGACACATATTATAGAGTTCTACCTACATGACTTTCTGGTATAATTAGTTTGGATTAATTCCAGATTTGAAATAATTAGTTTTAGAATGATTTGTTTTTGATGAAAATTTCCACGCATAAATTATTCCTGGGGTAACTAATGATTTGTCAAACGAAATGGCAAATTTCTAGTCATCAAAGTTCCAAAACTAGTGTGCCTTGCAACACAGATGGAACCTTGATGAGGAGTTACAGGATTTCTAAACACTGAAATCAGAAAACAGAAATTAGCGTTTTCCAACAACATACCCATAAAAAATTGGACCTTCTTAAATGTCATTAATTTAGCCATAGCATTTGTGTGCTGAGTTTCGAAGAAAATCTGTATTAAATTCATCTTATTTGACACACCAGTTTTCATACGATTCCAAGCTTAGAAACTCATAATTTTCCACTATAGTTTAGAGTTATAATTTTGCAAGATGTTCCTTCTGATATACACAGAATTTTACTACACTAACTTCGCGGACACCATCAATACGCCTGCTAGACAGGAGAACAATAACCATGCCATTGCTGAACGTCATTCAGGTTTGATATTCTCCGTCGTACATTACTTAGCCTCATTTGCACTTAACCAATTATAAATGTTACAACCACAAGCTAGACAGATGATTTTCTTTTTTTCCATGACCAGTCATGGAGCATAAGATACATTACGCAGACGATCATCGTTATATAGTTTTGTGATTCTTTAGAAGGTATTATACTCCATTTTATCCTTGTATATAATGATTCAATGTAGAACAAATGTTTAGGGTGGGTTGATGACGATACGTTGCGCCGTTGGCGTGACTCCATGCATTGGTATTGACGAGTTTGCAATTTGTTTAGGCTGCATATTATTTACTGAATACATAACTAAGACACATTCATTAAAAATCTATGAGAAGTTCTACTAACAATATAATGATTTGAAGGAACAGAAACAATTACTGTGAGAATCTTGCTAGCGGCAAAAGTCTCTCTGGTCAAGATTTTAAGAGCATTCTGACCTGGTGTTCTGTTTAAAACAATCTGCAAACTGAATTGGTCACACCCTTTTAATTTTTCGGTTGTATTTTACATCCTCTGATTTGTTATATTTAAAACGATATCACAAAAGCAGCAGGCTCATTGCTTCATCAGTCTCTCTGAAATCAAGAGGCTTTGATGAGACACAGTGCAGACCGCTAAAATCTCTTGACACTGCTCATGAAGTTATGACTCTTGCAATGTCAAATGGAGATATTACTGAATGAATTATTGCTTCTGCAGTGTCAGAGCATGTCTTTCTACATCTTTTAATACCTCAAAGACTGTGACTTGCGGGAACCACACTCATGGATTTCTTATCTTTGTGTGGTCTCCTGGAAGAGCATATACTTACATCATTAAGTGTAATGATGTAAAAAATATGTAACATAAATAATAAAATATAAGTGATAATTTTATATCTATGTTTTCATATATATCAGATAAAATAAAGTGTTGATGCACATATACATGCTTTGTAAGTTACACAAGCATGAAGTTATGACTCTTGCAATGTCAAATGGAGATATTACTGAATGAATTATTGCTTCTGCAGTGTCAGAGCATGTCTTTCTACATCTTTTAATACCTCAAAGACTGTGACTTGCGGGAACCACACTCATGGATTTCTTATCTTTGTGTGGTCTCCTGGAAGAGCATATACTTACATCATTAAGTGTAATGATGTAAAAAATATGTAACATAAATAATAAAATATAAGTGATAATTTTATATCTATGTTTTCATATATATCAGATAAAATAAAGTGTTGATGCACATATACATGCTTTGTAAGTTACACAAGCATCAATTTTAAACTAAATTATCAAATTGTTACTTCATAAATTGTCCACTTAATTATACAGTGAAATACGTTTAACACGAAAACGTTTAAGACGAAATATCGGTTAAAACGAAATAATATAACGGCTCCGATAAACTACTATGTATTTTCATGTATTTATTTATTTATTTTTATTTATTTATTTATTTATTTATTTATTGACTCGAAATGAAAATCGCTTAACACGAAAAGATCTCCCTTCGGAAAATACGGAAAACACCAGCCGCGCAAGCGAGATATAAGAAGGGTGTGAAATAAATTCACATGTTCCGTAGAAAAGAAGCTAACTTACCTTTGAAATACCCTTGGAATAGCCAATTCCTGTGACACGGGCCAATTTTGTTTATCTAAGCTACTTTCACCATCCACCCCTACAAACGCCCCACAAAAGCCTCTCATCAGTTGACTTCGGAATTCGGTGACGAGTGCATCGCAGGGTGGTAAAAATCAGTGAATTTGGTTCGAGCCAAAAGAAATGAAGAAACAGGATACTGAAACTGTGCCGACATTTAATGAAATGTTTGAGATAGTTTCTGTGATTGTCCTACTGTATCACCGGAATAATTTGTTACAGTAGATGATAACATTTAGTAATGTATGTACAGCCCCAATTATGGCAGACAAAGACAATTTGGAGTTTGCTTAAAGCTAAAAAAATATCATTGATGCAGATTCCGACGACGAAAATGAAATGAATAATGCAGCTCATGTTCCCACGTCATCCGAAATGAGGCAATTCATGGAAAGTATGCGCAGTTATTTATTCCAATTGTGAAATGAATAATAAAATGGACGACCATCGAACGATTTGTTGACAATTTGATGCTAAAACATCTGATGTGTACACCACATGACTTCCTTGTACGAAATATTAAATTATACGCATTTTTTCTTGCACTTCATTTAAACTTATTAGATTGAATTAAACCTACTTCGCCGACAGCGCATAAACCACAATAGAATAAATGCATTCTTTAAAATTCACTTTGTTTACCATAGCGACACTGTGGCGCTAGGTTTACTTAACAGTATTATATTTCGTTCATATTATAACTCAAAATGCACAAAATTTATATCATTTAAAGAATTACCTAATCGTTGCCACATGTTCTATTCAAATACTATAACAAAGCTAGAACAATGTATAAAAGAAATTAAGCAAACAAAACAAAAAAGAAACAGTTTTTCACAGACGACTGAGTATTTCTCATTCAATTAATTCAGTTTTCACTTCGCGACAAGGAAAAAATATATAAAAACTCAAAATATCTGTATTAAAAATTACGAAGTATATCTTAAACACTAATTTCCTCGAAAAAATTCCACAAAGGATTAAGCATGATTTAATTCGCAATAATAAATGAAGGCGTTACTTTTGTGTTGCGAAGCTTAGTCTCTCTAGATTGGCAACAAATCTACAATTCTGCTGTTTCAAATGTAAACAATATGTTCGCCATGTTATTTAAAACTTAACCGCACTTAAACAGCTTTTAAATTGTTAATAATTGCACAAATATTGCTTCCAGAATTACGAAAGGCATAAAAATTTTAACCGGAAGATAAAAACAACATAATTCAATCATTTTTAAAGCAAAAAATGTACAATTTACAAACATATCAGAGTAAAGAAACTGAGATCACTGAGCCGGGTAACAGAGTGGATATATTTATAAATATATTTATATATGTTTGGCGCGGCCGATTGAAACCAAAATACAAGGTGCACATCTACATGTTATAGTAGTCTTACATACAAAATTTCAACATTCTGAGTCTACTCGTTTTTGAGTTATGCGAGATATGTACGTACGCACGTACGTACATACGTTCGTGCAGACGCCACGAAAAATTCTCTTCAGAATTCATTTTAAAACAGTGTTTTAGTTTTTTTGGAAGAAAACTTTTATTCTGTCCTTACATACAGATATCGCACAAAAACATCGTTAAATTGCATTCGAAAGCGGTCAAAGTGGATATTTTCGTTGAAATATGCTGCCTGAAGCTTTTCGCAATTACAATACTTCCTTTTTACTTCGTACAAGAAAGTAAAAAGGCAATGCAAAGAAAAATTTCAGATTATTTTCCAAAAACTTAATAAATATTTTGTTTTTCAAAAAATTTCAAAACTTTTTGAAATTAAGTTCTTGTAAATTAAATCAAGTTCGTGTAGATTTTTTTGTTTCATTGATTTTTATTAAATACATGCATATATGCCTGTCTATGTAAGTAAAATGTACTCAAATAAACTTAATTTTTGTTGACTATATGTTTTCCTTCCCCCCCCCAATACCCTTCAACAGGATAAAATATTTCAGTCCCGTCAGTTTCGTGTTAAACGATTTTCACTGTATCTTTAATTAAAGATGATACTCATAAATATAGAGAAATCTCTCAGAGAACCAGCAGGTCTAAAATTAGCATTTCAGAAACTTACAACATAGTTAGATGATGTTTCTGAACACCATCAAAAGCCAAATTCCCTAAGGCAACTACGTATTTGATAGAAAACCAAAACTGTCGGGAATTAGGGTGGTTATTTTAAAGATTAATATTAATTTCAAAATAATGTCACTACATTATTTTGAACATTACACAAACGTAATGATGTTAATTATCAGGAAATGATGCTGGATATTCTCTAGGGCATTTTTACTGTGTTCTGCAGCAGATGCATCATAAACATTTTGGAAATTTAATACATTTTTTTCCCTATAAACATTGTTAAGTCATTAAATTAAAAAGTTATTTTAATTGAATCGTATTTAAATCTAAACTTAGTTGAGCTGTTGCAGTTGGCAAATGCTAATTGCCAATCCTAAAGCTTACTATTTAATATTAAGATTAATTATAACACATATTAAATACCAATATATACAACAAAAATTAGCCCTTGACAATATGATTTATAATACATAATACAGTCCAACAAATAAATATTTTATGTGCTTAACAATAAATTCAAGTAAGTTTGAAGTAGGAATGTAATAGTTTCATTGGGAATGAAGAAATATGAGAATGAAAACTATAGCAACTTTACTTATTTATGTTATTTATATGAACCATTATAAATATCAACAACTCATTTCACATTTAACAACATACATTTTAAATCTTAAGAAATATGTATGTATTAGTATCCAAAATATATTTTTTAAAAGATTTCAAAAGAAATATAACATCATGCTATTAAATTTCTGTGCTACACAGTTAAAAGAAGATGACACAAAATTCTGTATCAGTTAAAAACTCTACGGATATTAGGTAGAATTGGTTGAAAATCAGAATAAATTATATGGTGACAGAATATGCTGGAACTGGTTGAAAATCAGAATGTTTTATTCTTGCAATATATATATATATATATATATATATACAAATTATCACTATTGCATTATTAAACAAAATACCAAATGATTTTTTCATTTCAAAAGTTTCTTCTAATGGCATTTTTCATAAGAAATTTACACTCAGTACATAGATATAAAACTTACCACTTTGTGTTAAAAGCACAAAAATACTACTAGCACACAGTTAACACTCATTTTACACTTGAAATCATTCAAAGTCGTAAGCAATTCATTAACTTTTTTATAATTTAAACAATATTTCAAATTCTTTATAATTTTTTAGAATACATTATTATTTAGTCACCTTGAAAGAAAATTATGACTGTTTACCATTTTTATGCACATATATAAAATTAAAAAATAACTTTTAAGAGAAATGTATTAAATGAGATAGATATTTAAATTTTAAATTTATGTTTCAAATGGAAATAAAATTACATTTTTGCTGTATTTCATATTTCTGCATATTCTTAATCTTAAATGTGAATTTTGAATTTATAAATTACATCAATTTCCAAACTGAGAAGTAAATAGTTTATTCTACATATTAAGCACTTGAAAAATAAGAATTTTCTTTGTTAAATACGGTATTGGATTGTTATTCTCTATATGACAGCATCAAAGCTGTTTTTCTATTTATTAAGATACAGTTAAAAATATCTATAAACCTCTGCAGATAAAAACCTATAACACAATACATAATCAATATTACAATTTTAAAAAAGGAAAGAAATTCCTCAGCTATATCTAGCATTGTGCAAATAATTAAATTTAATGTTCTAAGAAATAATTAAAAAAAAAGAAAAGAAAAGAAAAGAAACTTCAGTAGAAAACTAAATAAATTCAAATTTTTAATCTCAAGTGAAAAAAGTGCATACATAGTCAAAAGTTTGTTTAAAAAATTCATACTATTCCTTCCTAATTAATTTTCTGGTATCTTAAAAAGAAAAATAAATATTTGTACATTAATCTGTACTAGAACTTCAGTTCATATCTAAGTAGGGTGATAATATAATATGGTGATATACTCTCTAGCTGCAATCATGTCTTTAAACTATGCTGTATCCTTTTTTATAATATGGTGTTGTCTCTGCTTTTGATTCAGTGCATTTGCTGCTGTTGTAATGGGTCTTTGAAGACGATATTTAAGACAGAAGTTACTGACTCTTTTTAGAGCCATGGAATAATATCAAACAGTCAAAAATTTTCTAATTCCAATATGATAATATTATATTCGCTAACGAAAACACGTTATAGAATTGCAGCATAAAAAATGTGCACACAGATAATATGAATGCGAGTACAAAACTAGTTTAGAGAAGGAAGATCCTTTACAACTAATTGTATGAATTACTTATGGCAACAAAGTCAGATCTAAGTCACATTTTGCCAATAGAAACAGAATACAATGAATAAAATTGTCATAGATTATAATAATTAGTTTCAAGTTTACAATAATAAAATTGAAAGATGATAAAAATTCTCAATACCCATATCGACAAACCAGAACCTCTAATATCCAGATTGCTACTAAAATTCCCTTCGTGCCAGCCCAAATTTCCCAACAGTGATCAATATGCAAATACTTAAAAATCTTAAATAATAATACATTTTTATAAATATTTGGAATGCAATATTTTTTTATTGAAGCACAGCCCTTTGATCATGCACTGGTATATAATATTTAAAATACTTTTAACAATGTGCTAAGATATTTAACATTCATCATGATATACTCAAACTAGAAATTACTAGAATTTCATAAGAACAATGATTATTTATACATTGAAACACATTTTTATTAGAATGCAATTTTTATTTCTGAATAATATTAAAAAAAATTCTCTTAAAAATGGCAAACTTTAAAAATTTTTTTTTTTTTTTTTCCCATCAGTTGATTTTGTGCATGTAAACAAATTAGACAAAACTGAAGGACATAATACAAGCAAAAACTAAAGCTTTCCTTATAATGTTGCCATAAAAGGAGGTTCCCCCCCAAAAAAGAGGACTAAATTTATAACTATAATTTTTACATAAAGATCCTTTATTCTCAAAATATGAGAGAAACTGTGAAATAAATAATAATAATAATAATTAAAAACTTAAACAAGCCAAAAAAATACTTTCAAATATGATACTACCAATAAAACTGGTAGATTTTACAAAAGTCGTCATTGGAGTTTTAACATTTAATTCATAAAAATGTCAGATAGTACTATGGTGGAACTCTATCAATTCTCACATAATTCATCAGAGACATCAGCCAAAAAAGTCTCTACATAAAAAGTTAAATCAGTGTTTTGAGATCTTATTAGTTATTAAATGCTTATAATCGAATATTTCTCTTTATGACTGAAACAAGAACACTTCATTTAATCATTAACTAATGTTTACTCCATGGGAAAAGTGTAAAATGTAAAAGTGTAAAAGGATGCAACTGAAAAAGCATGATTAAAAACTAAATGTTAGTAATTCATTAAATATCAGTAAATGAATCTGATATGTCATTATTTCTATCATCTTCAATAATAAGCTAATGAAAGAATAAAACAGTGAATTTTATCATTTCACAACTTTTCTCTTTATATGTAATTTAAAATTAAATAAAAAACATTTAATAAAAAGTATAATTCAATACCTGAACCTTTGTTTTAAATTTTTCTGTAGAGAAATTTTTTGTGATTCAACATTTCCATGTTACAAAAGTTATAAAGAAATAGTATTCAACTACCAAAACAAAAGAGATAATTAATGTGTCTAAAATATTTTAGGAGATAATATTTTTAAATAATCTCAGTATTCCTAAATTTATACTGCATCTGAGTACAAACACAATTTTTAAAAAATGTCAAGAGATAGACTACAGCTTTAATACTTAGTCAAAATATAAGAATCACTATACAGTTTGGTATGATTTGAAGACTCTGTATGCACAAAATGCAACAGCAAGTAATGTTATAGCTGTATGTAACACAATCCTGCGAGTATCATCTTTGCGTACCAAGACAACAGGTGATGAAGAAGTCAGTGTGTGAAGAGGCAGTTTCTCAAGATTTCTAGGATCTAATTCTACTTGATATTTACAGCAGGGATCACTTTGCCAGGATACAGCATATACTCCAGCACAAAAGAAGCTTACCCCACTCAGAGGAAAACTTATGTACATTTTATCTGGCCAAGCAAAATTTGATAATATAGAGCCAAAACCAGCAAGGACTGCTGTTTTATGTAAACAGTTTCCAACAGAAATCCATCTAGCAGTTTCTTCACCTAATTTAGTAGGTTCTATGACAATACAAGAACATTTAGTTTCCAAAGCTCTTTCCAGTTCATTTTCAAAAACTTCATGTGCATTTTCACCATCATAAATTTCTCTAATTATGGCTAAATTCATGTAATTTAACATTTCTCTGCAAAAAATAAAAAAAGAATCATATGCTTTTATTAAAAGTTAAAAGAAAAAGATTTATAAATTTAAAAACATAGGTAAAACTGATAAATATATTAATGTATTTAACTTAGACAACAACAAAGTTGGGTTATAGGAAATCTCATTCAAATAACTAAGAGTAAAAATATTTGTTAGAATATAAATTATATATAAGTATAAAAAAACTCCATACTTATAATGACACATTCTTTCAATAATAAGATGCCACTAATTGCAAGATAGCTCTTAATTTCAGTTCCACGAATACAATAAAAAAACGTTTCTCTTCTTATAAAAAAATTTTTAAAGAAAATAAGCATTTTCAAAATATTTCTAAATAAAACTAAACTTAATTTTAAATAGCACAATTAAAGTATGTGCATTACTTAACACCTCTTTCTAAATCAGTATCAAAGTCTGATTCTTCTAAGCTATTTGCATCTGCATCTTTAACAGATCTAACTTTACACTCACATTAATTTTCATCATTATGTCATAATACTGTGCCTATCTAGAGAATTAGTAATACAGTATTTCTTAAACAGTTTCTGCATGATGTCAAAAGTTAAGATTTATACTATTTTTTTAAGTAATTTTTAAATGGTTTGTAATGAAATGTCAACTAGCTTGAAGTTGGCTACACATCCTGCAAGGAATCCTAAAAATGTTTCACTTTTACGCAAATTTACTGAATTTTATTTTTTGATCTTTTAGGAGAAATGCCCACAAAAATATATCCTGAATTATTTTACTAATAAAGAATTCTGGCATGCATCCTTGAGGTCCAGATCATTGCATACATAACAACCTTTCATTTCAAGGTAGCTTTGTAGTGCACTTCTTAGAGTTTGGCAAGCAAAAAAAGGAATCAAAATGACAGAAACATGGTAGTTCATTTCATGTATGCTTGAAGACACATATAAATTTTCTAGTTGCAGAGGAGTAATTTTTACTATTATAATAACAAATTTAAAAAAAAACTGCTTATTTCAAAAATAAAGGAAACACATCACAGGCACAAAATGCAATACTTATGAATTTCCAGTATGCATCTCTTTCATCGTCTTCTATGCATCGTTTTTAATAATATTTAGAACAGAAAAAAAGGGCATCTTATAATTAAGTAAGTATAAAAGATAATAATATTTGTCAAATCTGACAGAAACAAATGGAATATACCATTAATGAGTCTTTATTAGAACCAGGAAAATGGTTTTAATAACATATGGCAAAATAATACCACCATAAATGAGATATTTCATTATTTTTATTAAAATCTGTCAGAAAGCAAAATTACATGGTAAAATAAACTGCTAGAAAATTATATTCATAAATTAAAAACTATCATATATATCAATATTACTAATAGTAAAATCATGAACAAATTTTACATAATTCTATAATGAAAAGAAAATCATATGCAAAATTTTTAAAAAAATTCTGTAACATACTTCAGAATACCTTTCAGAATGACAATAAAAATGATCACATCTCCTAACTACACAAGCTTCCTTGAATGATTGTTTAACCCTCCGAGTGGCCAGGGTTTTCCCTAAGAAAGCACAAATTTCCCTAAACTACTATGAGAACAAATTATTTTTGTTATTTTAATGTAAAAACTCTCTTGGTATTTCATACCTGGATTTGTGTACTTTTGATATATTGCATTAATTTCTTTAACGTATTTTAATACGCACGTATATGTACGTTCTTACAGATATCACAAAATATATTCTAGGCCGTATATGTATGGTCTTGCCGCTTAGAGGGTTAAAAACAAGAGGATTCCAATTCATCAATATATATCCTTTTTTATTAATTATATGGTAAAAGTAACCACATCTGTTTTGCCATAATTTCCAAATAGACATTCTATAATTAGTTAAATAAAAAGTTCATGAATTCTTTAATGAGAATTATTGATTACTACCTGTTGCCCTAAAAAATATATTCCACCAGTGGCCAAGTTGTTAAGACTGCTGAATTTGGAAATTCGACCAAGGTTCGATCTTGGGCAAATAGGTTGTCAGCACCATTTCCTCCATATATAATACGAATATGTGGCAGTTTTCCATGAAAGCATGCCTCCTCTAAGGTAGATAACTCTCATGTGCTTTGCCATATTCAAATACTTTTTATTCACAAACTAATTTTCTTCGGTTCTAATTTTTTTTTTTAATATTCAGGTATTTCATTCTTCATCAACATTTTATTATTACCACCATATTTTCAATCACACATTTCATTCTTCAATAACATTTTATACAGTCAAAAGTCTTTAATCCGGACTCGTCTGGACTTCGGCGATTCCGGATTATCGGTTTTTCCGGATTATAGATCAGTTTAAACCTGGTAAGATGGCATGCAGAAATTATAAAATTAAAAATATGAAACCGTTATTTATGAAATAAAGAGCAATTATGATCTAAAGAGTATCATCAAAATTTACAAAAAAAAAAAAAAGGCTTAATATTTATTTGTTTACTTTATTAAACATTTCTTTCAACGCGCACATTTGTAAAGCATACATTACGCATAGCCAAAATTAGAAAATTGCAACAAGAAAACTATTTGATGTGTATTCGTGATATTTATAATGACGAGGAATTTGATTTAAATCATATCAAAGACAGAGTACATCGAGATGAAATACTACATTTAGTAAGGAATTATAAGCCGAATAAAATAAAAACATCTGTCTTGAAGATAAGGAGAGTGCTGACGGATCAACTTCCAGTTCATTGCGTGCTGCCCCCCCCCCCCCCCCCCCGAAGAGCAGCATGAAATTGATAAACAGATTTCGGAATGGTTAGAGAAACAAAGGATATGCCTTTATCCATTTTTCGCAGCCACTTTTTGTTTAATGGACATCGAAACATGCTTTCGCTTTGTAGATCCTTTGGCAGCTCCAGAATCGGAAATTCTTTTTGACATAATCGAAAGTTGAAGCTTACTTTTATAAAATTGCTTTAACAGTCTGCAAAAAATAATAAGCCAGATCCAATTAGAAGATTGAGGAACAACGCTATCTGCAACATTAACTGAAATAGATAAATAGATAATTTTAACTTAGCTTATACCATCCGTTATACATTAAACGTGCATGTGTAAAGGTATATGCGTATGCGTAAACGCAATGCATGCGCAGAAAGTTTGTAGCTTTGAGGTCCAGATCATTCCGGATTAAAGACTTTTGACTATATTAACTTACTTGAGTCAATCATCCCTCAGTCAGCTTATTTACCCTTTCATATACAAGTTTCAGATAAAAAAAGTAATGGTGTACAAAATGCACTGGTACTTTATATTTTAGAATCAAACTAATATGTGATTAACTCTACTTAATGTGCCACTATGCAGAGGAATGATTTCTACAATCATACTACAGTTTCATCTAACTTCATATTACAAGTGAAAGTGAAATAGTCTCCATTTTAACCATTTCACTATTCTGAATGAAATTCTAAAATATTTGCTTTTTTTTACTGACATTAAACAATAGTGCTAAATAAGAAATTAACAAGCATAGAACTCAAAATCAGGCAAAACATCACAACCTCATTCTGCTAAAAAAATTTCGCAGTTTCACCCAATTTTCAGTGTTATACAGTTTAAGCATACACTTGATACAGCTAAATTTTCTCAGCAAATTGTTTCTAGTATCCCAGATGAGTTCTTTTTTTTTTTTTTTTTTTCCCCATAAATCCTTTTGTTTTTCTGATGACATGTAAAATTTATTAGTTCAAATTTATCAATGATAATTAAAAAATTAATTACTTTGAAGTCTTACAAAGCAAAAAACTATGACTTGTGCATAAATACCCATATGATGGTAATGATTATGACAATGAATATAAAGCACATGAAAAAATACATAATACACATCTGGCAATCCAAACTTCAACATGAAGAATGACAAGAGACATTACAGTCAAATTTATTTCAGAGATTTCACATAGTATCAATATGTATTGATTTGAAATACAGCATTCTTTGAGATGAGAGAGACCAGAAAATCAGTAACAAATGTTGCCTTCACGTTTGTCAACAACTGCTGCTACATACCATGGCACTGAGTGAAAGAGGTTTTGGATGTGTTGTTAGGGAATGGTAGCCCATGCTGCCTCTATATGTAGCCAAATTTCATCTGGTGTACCTGCAGGTGCAGCATGCCGAACTATGCATTCTCCAGTTATTGACCAGACGTATTCAATGGGTGATAGATCTGAAGAATAAGAGAGCCAGGGTGACAATGCAATATGGTGGGCTAAGAAGAAAACTTAAAACATTGTGTGCAGCGTGTGGTCCTGCATGATTCTGCTGAAATGTGGCCGCAGACAAGCCCTGAAGATAAGGAAGAAGAACAAGCACCAAAATTTCAGAGATATAATGTTGGCTGTATACTAATATTAATAAGTACACTAATAAATGCATATTGGGGGGAATTCCGCGAACGGGCTGGCTGCATGGGCGTTTTCGTGGTTTTTTGCCATGTGTAACGTGTATACGAGCCAGTTCCTCTTAGAAAGTCCTCCACGAAGGCATCCCTTCCCTTAGGCAGATAGCCCTCGAGGCTTTGCCATAATCACACACACACACGCATATTGGGGGCCAGTGGGAGTCGGATCCAATGCCACTCCACACCATAATACTAGGTGCAAGCCAATATGACAATGCATAATAGTCGAGCAGCCTCTCTCTACAGTGTCCCCAAACTCTAATCTGACATTCATGATCCTGCAGGCTGAAGCATGATTTGTCCAAAAACACAATACGATGCCATTTTATAACTCAATTAATTCAGTTGCATTTTTTAGTCTATTCAGTTCATCCCTCAAGACATAGAGACCATAAGACTATGCTGTAAGGTGTTTTCTCACACTGTAGCATATGCCTCAGTGGTGTAATTGGATAGCACGTCCTGCAAGAAATTGGAAAGGCTGGAATTCCAACCTTGGCAAAGGAATAGCACATTTTTCA